ACCAAACACACACTAAATATAAAGTACAGTGATCGTAAAAATATTTATCACATACTATAAAGTATAAACCAGATAATTGTCTTTCCCTTGCAAAATTGCAAGCCTCAAAGGTTGCTCCAAATCCCTGAAATACATATATTACATTTGAAGATTAAGCTGTATAAATGACACACAAATTTTCATTGATGTTTAGTAGGTTGAGGTTCTAAGATGAATTGGATAATTTCCTCTGCTTCAAACAGTTGATAAATTGGAAGTTCGAGGCTATCCGAATCGGAGTATGTTCTGGTTTTCCTTCTTTTATCTCCGACTTGAGACGTTGCCTTGCTATGAGATTCAAATAATCTGTGGGGAGTGTTCTAGTCTACACTACTTCACTTCTTTGTTCCATTTCAATCATGTGCATCACCTCCTTCATCCACGATCAAAAAAATAGGTTGCCGAAGAACAAGGTCTCTTTGTAGATTACATCACCTCCTTGCCCATTTGTTGAAGCGCTGAACTTTGAACAACCTCCCCTGTCAACTTAACTAAATATGTGACCTTTCACAGAAAAGCAATTTAGTTGTTACTACAATGCTTCTGATGTTTCACATCGACAATAGTAAGCAGTTTTATGGATTGATACTCACAATTTCCAGTGCGCTAACCTGATGAAGAAGGAATCCATTTGCCATTTCTCTGGAAGAAAGAAAACACGTATAGATATCAGTACATCACTCAATCAGCTGCATGTAGAGAGTATTGTCCCAAAAGACAAGAATTTAATAATGTTAACACTAACTTTTTATGGACTATATTTTGATTTACAGCAGTAAGATAACGACGCTTATCCACTGGATCTGCATTATTCAACTGCACGATACCTCTTTGAACATTGCCAGTACCGGCACGCCAGCTCCAATATGCATTCTTTTGAGATAAACATGAGTGAATCTTATATCACTTTTAGTTTTAAGATTTCTAAGTAGGGAAAAGGAGAATGTGGACCAACATAGATTTCTGAAACCGTTCCCCCAAATGATTTGTAAGGGAGGAAATAAAAACTTAAAAGAGTATGAAAACCTGTTTCTTACCACTCCATAGTTAAGTAATATACTATATAATCGCTCAAAAATTGGTTCCATTTTTTGTACATTATCTTCAGAGGTGACCAAGTGATGAAATCCAAAGACAATTTTCCTGCATCATTAGAGAGGAAGAGAAGAAACAAATGATTAAGATAATAAGTGCTTGATGAATAAGAAACATGAATCTTTAGCTTGGAAGGTTTACCAGTTGCTGCTGCTTTCTTTGAGGATCGTCGTTAACCACTGAAGCTGCTCATTTTCAGGGGCATTCGAAGAATTCTAAAAATTATCGAGTCAATACAGTCTTAGAAAACTATATATATCCATAGAAGGAATATAAGAACCTGTACATCAGTTTCCTTCTATGTCAAGAACGAGAGACAATTGGTAACGAAATAACATCTCAAATTTTTAGCTTTCTTATTTTTGCAATTGGTTCAACTAAGTTAATTTCAGTAATCAATTTCCACGAATTATAAGATATTTCAATTTCTACAGAGACTTTACCATGTCAATGAATTAAAATGTAATTTGACTCAACAACATGGGTGATCAGCAGAAATACCTCCACAAGGAAGAAGGAATAGAAATCTATTTAGAGAAAATATGGCATAAAGACAACGTTCGTGTAATGGAATTCACACCTGGAGTAGCCCAGTATCCATGGCTATGATATCTAGTGTTTGTCCATAAGGAATTTCGATCTTCTTGAGGAAATAATTTGCTCCTTCGCCTTTCAATGCTCTAGTAGTGTACCTAATAGTTGGGATAGACGAAAAGAGATTGGAAAATTTGATTTAAAATATGAGAAGTCTGTAACAGAAAAGTAGCACCTACTACCATTTTGGAATGCAACACATCAAAATATAAAACCATTCAATGGGGGAAGAGTACCATGGTATTTTCTGCAGCTCAGGGTACCATGTAGCCTGTTAAAAAATGAAGTTTTAGTTTGACGATTTAAAGTCGAATCATGCGGTAATCTTCAAAAACCTTCAACTTAAATAAAATCTGTGTAAATGAATCAGTAATATGCCATTTGCAAACCAAAACCAGCATACAGATCTTACATTCTGCAAGAGTGGATCGGATTCCCCAAGTTCACTAATGTTGACTATAAACCGAGCCTTGAAGGATGTCACCACCTTCTCCATCTTCATTACCATCAAAATTACAGTCAAAAGGGAAAATAAGAAAATTTAACATAGAAATCGACTCCAAACCAACCATTAAAACTTGATAAATGCTAAAACTAAAATTGAGAGAATAGATAAAACCAAATATATCCAGAGGAGTGAACATAGCTTCAAAAATTAAACTAAATTCTATGACGAACGCTTAGGATCCGTTTGATAGGCACGAATTCCACTTGGCCGTTTGATTCAACGTGAAAATGGAAACCGAATTCAAGGTAGAACCACTTTACGCTGCATTTTTTTTGTTTTCGTGAAAAATGATTCCTATGGGTTTGGTGGGTTTATATTTTTCAACTAACTTGAAATTGAAATTCATTTCCACATTTGTCTATCAACCCTTACATATAGTATTAGCAGTAAAATCAATATCTTTATTATTATAAGCATCCCATGAAATTTGTATGCATTTATCGATTTAAGATCCTTTTGTGCTTAACAAAATCCTATGAAAATTGCAGAGCTTGGTTAAAACTACAGAAGAATAAACGATCAATCAGTTCAGGGAAATCTCATCACACAAAACAAACACGGAACAAAAATTCAAACCCAGTAGCAGAAGAAAAAATTCAATCAGATTACACATCTCACCTGTTTAAGTAAAAGGGTTTGTTCTTCAAGTGGCCTAAATCCTCCATCAACACTAATGAAGTACATATGAAAGGGTCTGCCTTCATTTTTACTGTTCCCATAAATACGCTTCTGCGACTCACCTATATTAATAGCAATGAAAAGTGCAATACAGAGAGTGAGCTGTGTGAAAACAGTACAAACCCATGATTTTTCATTCATTTTCATTTCAACTCCCTCTTCTGTATTTCCTTCAGCCGATCGCGGATGGATTAAGCTGATAGATCCGATGAGTGCTCTATAAAACCTTACGCAGAGTGTGTACTAACTACTAACTGTCAGCGTGCATATTTTAAACGGTGATGTGATGAAAAATATGTGATTAAAGAAGAAATTTTTTTTTGAATATGCGTGTAATATTATTTTATTGAATATTGCGTGGTTGAAAATGAGTATTGAAAAAAGACAAACTTAATAGTCTTACGGCTGGATATTATTGAGGAGCCACCATTGGTATATATCATTGGATATTATTTGTCTTCAAGCTCGATATTAGTGCGGAGCCACCATTGTTATGAATGAAATGAAATGAAGAAACGTAAGGCTAATTAAATTAATTTTGTCTTCAAGCTGGACATTATTGAGGAGCCAGCCACCATTGTTTTATATCTATTCTAATATAAATTCATTCCAAATAAAAGTTTTAATAAAAATATTTTATTTATCCACATAATATTTCAACATTAACCTAATTAAATTCAATCATCTAAACACTATATTTATTCATATTACAATTTTAAAATGTTATCGTTACTAATTGAGCGAAACTCGCAAGTAGATGAGATTGTTGACAAATAATAGATTTGATGAGTAAAGAGTATTGTCTTACGGAGAATAAATTTCAATTCGAGTATACTAATTTTGTATGGAATTTCGAATTATGTAATACAAAAGAGATTTGATTTGTGATTGTTCTAAATAATGCTAGGAAATATGTAAAAAGTATGTTCATATCACAATCATTTCAGATGATTGTATTGGATTTCGAATTATCTATTACTATCTATTTCTACTCTCAAATATGTAATTTAGTTTCGTTCCTACATTCTTGACATTCGATAAAACTAATATATTTAACTTTTTTTTTATAGAGAAATTAAGTTTATTCTAATTATGACTATGTTTATTCCTAGTACGAATACGAAATGTTAGAATGCATTAAATTTTATATTATCTATATCATGCGATATTGTTATTTATAACATCTACTATCCATGTGTTAATCTTGTAAAACTCTAAACATATTGTGAGTCTCCAACACTACAACAAATAACTAATTATTTAATTGACGATCAAACAATTAAATAACACAATGAAAATGCAAATTATCAAAAAAAGCAAGAAATATTAAACTACTTAAAATAAATAAATGATAGGGTTTATTTTTCATCTAATACATAAATGGATCTAGCTTAGTATGAATTTATATAAATTACAAAAAGAATAATATGAAAATACTACCGGGATCATGAAATAATGCAAAAGATATTGATTTTCAAGTCCAATGTTCAAATCTTCAATTTGTTGATATAATTGACATTCAATTCTTGCTAAGATTTCATATCTTCTTTCAAAATATAGTAATTTGCTTCTTGTTTGAATTTGATAATATAATTGTGTATTAAGAGGCTTAAGAGAGATTTCAAATGTTTTGTCGAAGTTTTATATTTACGGGAGTCGAAAATTAGGTAAAAATCCTGTCACAATTTCAATCCAAGAATTTTTTTTAATTAAAAATGGAATTGCAGTAGAGGTCCCCAAACATAACGATGGGCCCGAGTTGGCTATTGAAAGCACAGGTTCACGCGATTTCGTCCCTAAGTTGTCGTTAGTATTATTGTCATAACTTTCTTTCTCAATATTTGATTGGATTGATTCTAAGTGCGTTGAAAATCTAACTCAAATAACTACAATTCTTATAGAATACAAAATTTTCAATTCGAACATTTGCTATGCAAAAAATGGATATTAATCTAAAACTGAAAATTTGGAACATAACTTTTTCAATTGAAAATTAATTTGTGAAACTACTTTGACTATATTTCGTTCATTTGACTTCCAACTGCATCCCAAATAAGTGTACAAATGCACTTATCAGTTACGTCCACCATAGAGCATTTAAGATATCTAAATTTTGTGTGTAAATGAGTGTAGTTCAAATTTCAAAAACTTTTCATTACATTTATAATGTCATCTACTTAAAAGTGAGAAAAGTGACTCAAATGAAAATTCAAAATTACAAGATTTTTCGCCGTAGGTAGTCCTATTTTCTGCTTCCATATCAATCAGCATTTTTTTGGAAGACTTCCTATGAGTCGAAGCGACATAATCCTTTTAAAGGCAAATAATTCTTGATATCTATATTTTACAAGACTTTTTGCATTTTTCAAACATTAATAAAAAAAAAAAAAAAACTTCCTATTTTTCACACCCCTGAAATTATAATGGAAAATATATTGTGTTCCGAAGACTAAGAACATGGTTAATTTTCAGTGCCTTCAACGGTACTAAAATAAAGGAAAAGAAAAAGACTAACCTTAAAGTTTTCCAAAGGATTATGCTACACATACATAATTTATTGTACATAATGGTGTCCACATTTTCACATGTTGGGGGACCTACTTCGAAAATATTATGTTTTAATCGAAGTGGGTCCCCCTCTATGTGAGGGTGTTGACATCATTATACACAATGAATTATGTATGTGTAGCATAATTCTTTCCAAAATCTGTAGATCCCTTGCAAACAAAAATATTGTATGTTGCAATGCCATATTCAAGAAAAATTATTTGTGTCCTCAGAAAGTCATCAAGGAATACAAAATCACAGGATAGAGAGGAAATTGAAGAATAATAGGCATAGATTTGATTTGGGGCCGTGCTACATGTATCGATGTGGGATTATCAAATGGTGTCCCTCATCTCACATCGGGGGATGAGCCCTCAGCTCGGCATTTTTTAATGCGCTCGGGGCCCGCAAATCATGTGAGAGGGGGGACACAATTCGATAGTCTCCCCTCGGTTAGTCCCCCTCGGTACAAATATCATTTCTCTTTGTTTTGACTTTAGTTAATGGAGATGCTTTACGAATACTAGAGTTTTAATTAAAAGTAAAATATAAAAGATTATACAAAGTTCAAAAATATTTAATGACGATAAATATTAGTAGATGAATTTAGAGTGATATATTTTATTTAGTCTTATTCTTCTCTATTTAAATATAATATATAAATTTATTTCCACAGGTCCACTTTTTAAACCTGAAATTGAATTGATTGAGAAGTGGACTGATGTCTCAACTCAACTGCATGTACAATTAATTTTGCCAACCATTCGTCTTTCGAGCTTTGCTGCACAACCAAAAAAAAATCACTAGAATTGCAACAGACCACTCACACAAGGGTGGGGCCTGCACATTTTTTTCTTTACATATTCATGGTGGGGCCCACATTTGTCTCTATTTTGGTGCAATTTTGATTATTTTTTCTATACAAATACTTTTTCTCTTCGTCTTTCTTGGTGTGTCAACATTTAAATTCATCGTGATAAACACGGTGTTAATGAAATTGTTACTTAGATGAAATCGTTCCTTCAACATAAATTGTGCAATCCTAAATTACATTTTCTTATTTCATTTTAAGTTTCAAACTTGAGCCCCAAATCAAATTTAACGGCTTATGAAGTCTAACTCATGTCCATTCCAATCAAAAGGAATTTCGAACCGAGTGTCGTACATAATCTCTAATTTGATTTGATGATATTACAAGTTTTCACTGGACAAATATTGAATTTTATAGATATTTATCAAGTTAGCAGGTCAAATCTCGATTTCGTTTTAACAAATTTAGAATTTGTTCTAGTGCAAATTTTTTTTGTCCATTATCCTTCTTCATAGTAAGCTATGATTATGCCTTTGTCATCTAGCAAGATTACTTTTTTGGTAGAACAAATTCCAGCAATCTTTGTCATCTAGCAAATCTATGATTTTGCCTTTCTCAAATTTTAGTAGAATTTGGTGTCAGAATTTTAATGATAATTTTAAATTCTCAAGAACTTGAAAACCCTATAGACTTTAATGCCAAAATCATCCTGTCTAATCAGTAAAATGTGAAAGATACCTTGATTTGTTGGGAATAATTAGAATTTTGATTCTAAATTTTGAATTGGACGTTCTTGACTACGATTTCTTGGTCTTAATTAGATATGTAAGCCTACATAACAAATTAAATCCCAACGTTTGGACTATGATTATGTATTTTCTTTACTATTTGCTCAAGTGAAAATAATGAAATGGTGGATTTTGCACACTATCATTTACGATAGATACAAAGAACTTCGTTTACTATTTGGCCCAGGTGATAATGATCGGAAATCTCTCAAAAATCAGATTAATAGTAGTGAATTTTAGCCACTAAAATTTGAATCACTATTGCAAAGAAGATAATGCTGTGCAAAATAAAATACGAAGAAATTCTACATTTCAGATTATCAGCATCATCTAAAGAAATTTTCAACTGAGAATTGTACATAATCTTTCATTTGATGGATGAAATGACAAGTTTTAACAGGCAAATATCGAATTTTTTAATCATGTGACAAGTTAGTAGATTAAATATCGAGTTTGTTAGGCATATCTCGAGTTTACTATATAAAAATAGGGTATGTCTAGCAAATCTCAGATTTGTTCGATCCACAGGATAAATAATTATCTTTAAAAATATTATTAAATTTATAGTTCAACGCAAACAAACAAAAAAACAGAAAGAATGTAATTCGAAATTGTAAATCACTTTATATTGATTTCATTAGATAATTTAAGATAACTATGGGTCGAATGAAGTGTTGTTCCATATCATATTCACCTCTCTTTGACAAGAATTTTTTGATCTATCCCCCAGACAGTAAAATGACACAAAAGCTAAGGTATAATTACAAGATTTAAAAGAACTTGAGAGATCATAATTAATTGCACATCCCCAAATAAGGAAATCCAAGGACCAAACGAATTCAGCAAAGAATAAATATACTCTACAATCCCTGAAAGCTATCAATTTCTCTTCAATTCCCGTCTAACAAGAAGTTCCTAATCTTAATGTAGACTGCGAAATTAGAAGACCTATATCTCAATAGTTTCGGACGAAGAACTCAGGCGCCTCCTGTGGCTTACTGTTTAACACAAATAACCACACAATCTCTAATTGCCTCTCCAATATTAATCCCATCATCCTCGATCGAGCATGTCTACCAAGGTCATCCTTCTTGGGAATCTTGGTGGCAATCTTAGAAACATAGCATCTTCAATCTTTATTGGCAAATGTGTGGCTACAATGACAATCCCACCCTTCTTTCTGTGATCTGCAATAATGTGTTCAAGCAACTTGACCCCTTCGTTATCCAAGGCCACCGAAGGCTCATCAAGCAACCAAATTGGCCTATCAATAGCCAATAGCCTTGCAAGTTGTAAC